TTTCTATTGATTACAAGAATATTCAAAAATTGCCTATTATTTCATACAAAAAAGGCACTTTATTCGAAAAAGTGCGGTGTTTGGCGCAGGTTTTCAAACTAAAATTCATGTTTTGGCCCACAATTTTTTGAAAATGAGAAAAGTCGAAGTAATCTGCATATATGTGGATAGAGCGTAAAAAGCACTATCGGAAAGCAAATGTTAAGGTTGAGCTTATTTAATTATTTTGATTAAAGAATAAGTAATATGTCTCCTGATACTTAATGCTATATCTTCTGTTCTAAAGCTTTGGGACCACCGGCCTATCATGTTTTGGTGACAGTCCTCCCACCCACCGCTGCGCAGATATCTTTGGTAGGCTCACTTGTTCTACTGCGGCGCTGCTGCTCAAAGTTCGAAATTACTTGAAGTGATGAGCTTTAATCTTAAGCGCTTATAAAAATAATGCCATGTAACAGTGCCCAACTATAGGCCTCGATAGAAGGTTTTTGTTATGTACTAACATCTGCCAAAACTTGGACTTCCAATTAGCTTTTCTATTTGAGAAAACTGCAAGGCAAAAATTGCGTGAGGCTGAAATTGCGCGAGAAAGTTAGCGCCTGGAAAACGTGTTTGTTTGTGAGGTCTGGTGTCATGCAAAACACGATGCGCTCTCTAATGTCTCAACAAAGTCCGGGATGTTCTTGCCACTTTTGCGTTGAAGCATTGGAGCAGTGCAAACACTTTACTGTTTCAGCATATTGATTGTGTAGAACGACAAAAAATAGCGCGCTTTTAGACCCACACGCACAAATATTCTCCCTAGAGAGCAAGGAAAGCTCTGAGGGGCCTTATATCTCGCTGCTTTAGTAATTTCTAGAACTGACAAAGAAGGCTCACTTAGTCGAAATGGCGATTCGGAAGGAGATCTATGCCAATGGATAGAGCTTAAAACGCTGATCTCACAAGGGAAGGATACAATGACGATTGGGTAAGCGGTGTATACCGCGTCTACCGTCCCCAGACGGTGACCTCTAAACCGCATTCCATATCTGCTATGACATCATTTTGAAGGAGTTATAAAGGACTTTTGGTGTGGTGGATAGTGGTTTGGATTGCGGATCTGAACGTCGTGGAACGATTCCTTTGAGATGCCACCCATTTTGCATTTTTGTAAATTTTAGTAGGCAAGTTGCAAGACCTGTCGACATCAAAAAAAGTTGATTTTTACAATATGAAGCAACTTTATCGGCACTGAACCACGCCTAACATAAAAACACTTGTTTTTAGCCTTTTTCATTAAACAATCTACTCAATTTTACATTGAAAGGCCTTCATGAAAACGTATGATATGAAAGCGCAAAATGTGCAAAACAAAAAACACGTTCACGGTGCGCACGAATAAAAAGAGTGTAAAGTATTTAATGAAAAAGGTAAAAACAAGTGTTCTTAGGTTAGGCGTGGTTCAGTGCCAATAAATGTAAATATGTTGCTTCATATTGTGAAAATCAACTTTTTTTGATGTCGACAGGTTTTGCAACTTGCCTGCTAAAATTTACAAAAATGCAAAATGGGTGGCGTCCCAGAGGAATGAAACCCACGACGTCCAGCTCCGCAATTCAGGCCACTATCCACCGCACCAAAAGTCCTTTCTCCAGAATGACGTCATAGCAAATATGAAATGCGGTTTAGAGATCATCGTCTGAAGACGGTATACGCGGTATACACCGCTTACCCAATCGTCATTGCGATCAAGTATCCTTCCCTTGTCAGATATACCTTCTATATCTGCGACGCATTGTTCTGAAAAATATGCGCTTTTCTGAAGCCAAATTTTCCATTTTGAGTCGCAAAATCATGATAATCGCTACACAAAAATGTGCAAGCTTAAGCAAACCACTTAGTAAGCATCGTAGGTCTAATTCGAGTTCATCCGAACGTTTTCGAGTGTTTTCTGACCATGTTGTTCATCCACAGGTCGCCATTTCTTTCCTAGATCACACTTCCATTATACAGGGTGGGGCAAAAGTCTGGGAGCCTAATTTGCAGTACTGCAATTACAAAGATACTGATGGTTTTGACTTCAATTTCATGCCACATGATCCTCTACAGAATGCACTTTATTTGGCTGGAAATGGCTGCCATATGTTTTTGTAAGATTGAAAATTACCAAACTAGTACTTTTGCAAAGCGAAAAAACCAGAATTTTTAGTATTCACAATTTGCTGTAGCTAGAGATGCAGTTAATATTTTACAAAACTTTTATGCGCACAACATAGAAGAGGCTTTGCGCTATTGTATCCTAGTTTTGCTTTTGCCAGAAGCTGTTCTTGCATGGGCGGAAAATAAAAGTTTGCGAATGTTACCTACGTGCCAGTGGGAAACCGTCTTCAGAACAAGTTTAAAAGCTATAAAATGCTCAATAGGCACTGGAACCAAGGCTGCATTTTTTGCATACGTCCTCTAAATTAGAATCTATTGAAATTCGGCCATGGGAACACTTTATATACTTTTAAACGATAATTTTAAGTTTATATGGCGCAATTGTAGCCAAAATTCCGGTATGCGACGTAAACATGCTTCTAATTGAGAATTCAAGATTTTTATTTCTGAGCAATGCAAAAAGTTCTTTTGGAACCATGTTGTAAATAAAAGCTTGCTCTATCGTGCTGCACATTTGTCAATGTAAAAGAAGCAATTATTGTGAAGGCGTGGGGCGAATTCCATTACGACTACCTGCGTGCCATGACAGGTGGACTTGCCAAGATTTTGTAGGTGTGCGTGGAAGCCAAAAGAAGCAGTGTTGCTATTCAAGAACTGGGCTATATCTGCAATGGTTCGAATTATGTATGCGCCAAATTTTTCGTTTCTAGGTACTTCCCTTCTCGTTTTGTACGAAAAAGTACTAGGCTCCCAGACTTTTGCCGCACCCTGTATATACTAAAAAGCCCATAACCTCCTTCTAGAAGAATGTGTCGCAGATATTGAAGATATATTTGAGAACATCGTCTTATGTTCTATCCATTGGTAATTTCCAAGAAGCTTTCCACGCGAGGCGTTTTTCTAGATGGAGGTTATAATGCTATTTTTGTATACATAATGGAAGTGTGATCTAGAATGAAATGGCGACCTGTGAATGAACAACATAATCGAAAAAACACTTGAAAGCGTTCGGATGAACTCGTAAAAGACCTAAAATGCTTATTATGTGATTTGCTTAAGCTTGCACCCTTTTGTGTAGAAATTATCTTGATTTTGCGACTCATAATGCACTAAAATTTGACTTTAGAAAAGCTCGTAACTTTTTTTTAGAACAATGCACGCAGATATAGAAGGTATATCTGAGATCAGCTTTTTGTGCTCTATCCATTGGTGTAGACCTTCTTCCGAATCGCTACTTCAACTAAGTGAACTTCCCTTGTGAGTTCAATCCATGTTTAGGAGGTTCTACTACCCTAGTATCTGCTTTATGAATTGTTCGCGTATTGTCATAAAATCTGGTTTCTATGGCAGTATGCTAGGCATGTTTTCGGTAAGACAGGTGGAATGAAGGTCAATGGTTTTTGGATGAATTGCGTGCTGCAAGCAGCGGTTCATTGTAAACTTCGTCTTGAAATTCTACTTGTTCCTACCACAACATGCGCAGATTAGTCATATTGATTTTTCAGCACAATTTTACTTTGATCCCACTGAGATCACAGAGAGATAAATGAGTTTGAGAAACAGCGGTGAATCCATGGGGGATTCTCTAAAGAATAATATTAGGTTGTTGCAAAAATGATGTCCGTTGTGCAAAATTTTACTTTGAAAAGCTTTAACTTGGTCGAGGCATTCATATTTATGAATGTAGTCAAGACCATTAAAAGCAGTAAATTTTTTGTGACCTAACGCGCACTTGCTTGTACTGATATAGCAAACAGGAAGAAAACCATGCGTCAAATAACCAAAAGTTTTTTTCTGAAAAATCGTCTTTGAGAGATCGCAGCTCCTTTCAAGTTTTGTTACTTTGGCTGCTAATTAGCTTATTTTGTAGACGCGAGCCAGTTTTAGGTGTTTGTTTGAAAAAACTTCAACGAAGGGGATCTGCGAGAAGAAAATATAGAGATCCAAAATGGTTCACTTTTTTGAGCACATTTGTGATAGGCCAGAAGGCCTCAAACTACGAAAATTTGAAATTCTTCAGGCACGGAACGGCAAAGTTTTTTTGGAAAAACTGTAGGCAAGTTGTCCTGACCTCAAGCATACAGAAGTGAACGGAGCTTCGGCGATTGCCTAAATCAGGAAAAACTTTTAACCCATAGAGTGCCATGCAGCGAGTATCTACACTGGGGCGTCGATTTCTCAGTCCAGATCTATTCGAAAAATTTATTTAAGGATGCAATAGGTAAGCAATATTCATCCCATAATGTTTTCGAACGATTTCGTTTGCGCCAAAATTGTGGCTAAGGAGGTCAAGGCAACAAAATTTCGATTTTGAGTGCAGCTGTACGAGATGCTGGTGAAATTCCCACAGATAAGTTGGGCGCTTAACTTTACCACTATTAGAAATTATATAAAGAAAGCTTTCCAAATGTATGCAGAATCTATATCGAAAAAAGAAGTTTTGATGAAAAAAAGTTGTTCGGAAAGTATGCTTAGAAAAACGGACATTATTTTTGCAAAGCCTAATACAATACATTGGAAAATCATGCTACATGGCAATGCGTTGTCACCCATTATGACATGGGCAAAACAAGAGACAGAGGTATTTAAATGAGATGTGAGGCGTTTTCTTTACATTTCTTTCCTTCTCCTCAGCAGGATGTACGTGCATACGAACTGCTACTCTTCTAAGGTTCGAAGCAAAAAAAAACACATTAAAGTGCTAGAGCAGCGAAGCATCATTAAATGTGCTGACTGAACTTATAGCAATATATACATGTTTTTAATGTGTACAAAGAGTGTCTACTATAACGGCATCCTAGTAGCCACAAGCTATGTCACACATACATAGCGGTTTTTTTGATGTTTACGATTTTCAGCATTAACGGAAGAGAGTTTCGATACATCACGGTGGAGAATAGATAGGACCGCGCTTCTAGAAATTAATTTCTACTACACAATGATTGGTAGTGGATGTTTTCTATTACTGAAAGTGGCATTTCCTCTTCAGAGTCATTATTTGTTAGCGATCGCTTCAATCTGTCCGAAGATTGTGATGCCAATATTTTATCAATTGGTTTAGGAGGTGGAACAGTTACTAGCTTCCTGCATCAAACATTTCCTCGGGTTGGTTCACTTACTGCAAAGAAGCTGCAGTGCAAAGCGTTTGATTATCAGATGGATATAACCGTTGTGGAGATCAGCGGACAAATGCTGAACGCAGCTAGAAAGTGGTTTGGCCTTTTAGAAGATGATCACCAACGAGTCATCCTGACCGATGGAATTACATTTCTAGCTGAAAGGGCTAAGAAAGGTTTGCTTGTCTCTGTATAAGCATGGCGATTAATGACATTACTCAGGAGCTTCTTACAACGCAATACTGCTGGATGCATGTTTGCCACAGTTTGAAAGTGATTTTCTTTGCCCTCACAAATCATTTACCGACGAAGATGTTTTGAAAAATATCGCGACTTTGCTGTCCAAACAAGGTACGCTATTGCTTTCGCATCATGAAAAAATTGCGTTGTTATAAATTCCCTTTGAAATAACTCGACAATTTTGTATATCTGCATGATGTAACTTTTTTCCAAATGATCAGTTTATGTGTAGTGTTGTTTTAAGAAAACATCCGCTGAAAGACCTTAACTTGCACATAATCTGTTCGGTATAGTTTCGATTAACAACAATTTAGCTCGCTAATTCCGTTGAGGTAAAAAATTCGACGTCAACCTGCTTTGATCGTTTTATCTCTAATTCTCTATATGCTATTTTGGCTTTCTGAGCTGACATTTTCGAGGTCAACTGCTTTGCACGACAACTCTAGAAGTTTTATGGAAAGCGCACAAAAGGGTAAAAATTCAATTTGCAGCATTTCGATGATACGAGTGTAATTTTTAATTTCTTCTTATAATATAGGTTCAGTCAAGTGCCAAAAATAAATTGAATTCTAAGCCAATATCAGTCAGTACTAATTATCAACATTTGATATCAGTATTAAAGATAAAAGTACCCTAACTTTACAAGTACAAGATGCAAATATTTTTGTTAATATAGTTTTTTTGCCATTGCATTAGCGCGCACAAAGTCACAATTTGATAGAGCCAGGCACAGGGAGTGGCACAGATGGCTTACGGTGCAGGCTGAACATAGTCTTGAAAAAAAAAGCAAACGGGTTTATGAGGATTGCGAGGAGAAGCTCGGGAAAAAATACATGTATCAGCCTAGCTCAATTGAATGAAATATTTTTTCGTTTAAGATTGGAGTCCCAGCGGTGGTAAACACTTTTCAGAACCTTTTGATCACAAGCAATCTAATCAGAATTTCCATGTAAAATTAAACGAGTAAAAAACTTGGAGGATTTGGCCAATTTCCGGTCCATATACCCAGCAAATTTTTGTACCTTCCCATGACAAACAAAACTTACCTCAGACGCATATACAACGATCACCAAAAAGTTGCGGACAAGTTACCCTCCTTTTTTTCATCGCTCATTTTCAGATGCAAAACAAAGATGAAAAAATGATTGGATTGCGTGCGGTGATAGGGATTATCAAGAGCTACACCTCACACATCGCGCTTCCTGGAAAACATGTGATACAAAATTTTAGAATCTTTCTCAAAAAAAAGTACGAAAACGGCCGCGTCAGAATGTCGCGGACAATAATTCTTCGAACGCAAAAATTTTCTTTTAGGACTTTTCTCGGAGCAAAAATAAAAGTTTTTCGGATAGATAAGCACACTATATAGTATAGTTCATCGAGGACAATAATTATCCTAATTTCACGCGTATAAGGCGCTTGAGTTTTTTTCCCCTAAATCGACCAGCCCAGACAAGCCAAAGGATTTTACAACCAAAGGACCCTATAACGTGCTGTATATTGCTTGAGAGAATCCTGCGATGTATAATCGAAAAAGTGTGCCTTATACGCGTGAAATTAGGGTAAAGTGTTTACTTCCAAAAAACCCGAGCTTGAATTTTATTTTATATTTCAAAAAATAACTTCTAATTCCCTTCTTCAAACCAAATTTCTTCACATGAAATTCAACAAGACATTCCAACAAAGCTATTCGGGTAAAATGTATGCTGTTTGCCATCCTCTATGCATCGGACGTGTGCTGATGGGTTTCTTTGCTGAAAGTGGTTCTTGACAGTGCGTGCACATGACTCGTCTTCCCCCCACTAACTTCACCGCTTTGCGGGCTTGTAACTCAGCCGGCAGTCATTCCAGGAGCTTGCACCTGGGCTCATTTTCGAATGCATGAATTCCTCGACACCATGCAATAGCGTACCCAGGATTTCGGCCCGCGGAGGGGGTGGGGGGGGGGGCGCGCAAAAAAAATTTTAAATGAAGGTGCGTGGCGTTAGCCACGCACTCCGAAAAAAATATAGGGGACTTCTCAAAATTTTTGCGGACCCCAACCCCTAAAATCTGGAAAAAAGGGTTGTGGCATCAGCTACGCCCCCGAAAAGCTTCGAAATACATGTGCTACAAGAAAGTTTTGGAAAATAGGGTATTTTTGGTTGTCTCAGGTATGTATTGTGCAGGTGAGTAGGCCAAGCGAGGCTAGTAGGGCATTAAATTGGTAGTAGCGAGTCTTTTTTGGTAGTAACGGCCTAACGTTTTGCCCAACCCTCTTCTTCAGACGCCCGGATTAATAGAAATTTGATCTAGCGTCTAACCTACCAGCCTCCTTCATCCTGACTAGCCTCGTTCCGCCCCAAAAAGTGTCGTCAAAAGGTTCTAAGCGTGTGAGATGAGTCGACCTCTAAATGTCGACGTGGATGGTAGGGCAGCCGTTCTTGGATCTCAGTAATTTTGACTCATTAATGGCTTTCAAATGTGCCAAGTCACATAAGTATAAAGTATTTGTATCCGAATTTTTTTCGCTCTTCATGCATACTCCTTGCATAAATTTACATCCTTAAAAGCTTCTCCTAACAGTGTGGTCGTGAGCCTGATTATTACTTACGTTTGGAAGTCCTTACTACTTGAGTTTGACATGTGTTAGCCATAAATGCGGAAGGACTTCGCATCTTTCTTTCTTATTTTGTTTTTTCAGAAAATATAGCATAAAAGAAAGTTTTGAGAACAACAAAGGAAAGTCATGAAACTTTTCTTGTAAACACAAAGTTGAACAGCAAATGCAGAAGAAAACGTGCATGAATAGCCGAAACGAGTGAATGTTATTGACAAATGATTTTATGTCCTTTGTGAGAATGTGAAAGCTGTTGGCCAATAGTCATCAACTCAAGTGCGGTAAATAACGCATTTTGTTATCGATAGTAATGGCAACAGACGATGGTCGCCGTCAAATAGACGCGTCGGCATTGGTGAAAAAGTCATTTCCTTTCTATTAGGTTGTGAAAAGTTTCCGGGCAGTTTTGGGAATTGTTTCATTTTCAAACTTTTTTTTTCGCCTCGGTCGAATCTTAATGACAAATATTTTATTAGGTTGTGTAATAAGTTCAGTCCCATTTTCTCTTTCGATTTTCCCACAATTTTGCATTGGGTTTTTCAAAGTGTATATATTAGGTTGAGTCAAAAGTAATGAGAACTTATAGCTCCCCATTTCGAACTTTCCGCAACTCGTGTAGAATAGCAATAGAAGAGTACACTAAACTGTATAAAACGTAGCTTTTCTTTTTTTCAAGCAGTGAGGCCAATGGCCCAGTTGACTTCTGTGTTGTCGAAAAAATTTCCCAAATTTTGAACCCGTCATTTTTGCTTTCCTTAAGTTTAGCTAATCCTCAAAATTTTTATTTTGAGGTTTTCGAACAAATGCGATGACTTAAAAACAAAGCAGGCCCTGCTTGATGCAAACCACTATTTAGGCATTTCGAAACTAGAATTTTGAGGCCTTTTAAAATCATTTTTGCAAAAGCCTCGAATTTTCAAAAAATGGCTCAAAACAAAAATGCGTTCATTTTGCAAATCTTTCGAATTTGGGAGCTTTGAAAGTAGTTTATCATCAAACCTTGATTTTGCAAAATATTCAAGCGCTTACCGTTTCAAATTACCACAATCTAGAATTTTTTTGAAAGTTTGAAAAAAAAACCATAGAATTTGAACGGCAAACGCTTTGTGTTCAAAATTTTTGCAAATATTTCATCAACTACGAAGTGATTTGGCTGGAAATTTTGACTGCTGGAAAGAGGAAGAAAAGCCGTATCGGATACCTTTAGAGCATTTGCCTGTTTACATTCTACCTAATTTGAGAATAGATTTAAAATAAGATACGAAGCTCTCATTACTTTTGGCTCATCCTAGTAATTTTATTTCGCAATCCCGCTAAGTGGGGGGGGGGGTAATGCATACGAATTTGTAGAGCAGGCTTGAAGCTTTCAAAAAAGCATGTACTCTTTATTCCAAATAAGTAAATATTGTTGATGAAAAATTGAAAGAAAAAATGGGACAGAACTTATTGCACAACCTAATACATACATGGTGTTCCAAAAAAATTTATCGAACGTTTGATCGTTAATATCTCTCTTCCAAAGAAATCTTTTCCCTTGCTTCAGGTACCAATCTGTAGAGCTGGTTTTAACTTAGATTTGCATTATAGAACGAATCACTCATCTTTATTCATTACTGCAGGATTACGGTAGAAACTTTAAAGAGGGTTTTAAGCAATGAAAGGCCATATTTTGCCCCAGAAAGGAAACAAAACAGCCTGAAAACTTTTACACTAAGCTAATTAGAGTTGCTGATTATAACTGTAAAGTTCCCAACTTATTATGATGCTTCATTGAAGAGTTATGCCAGGTAAGAGGTAGCGGCCATTTTTCCAATATTCCTAAAAAGTGCAGTTACACCGTTTAGAAAGCTTCTTAATCTTGTGGATAGTTGAGTATTGAACTCAGCGTCCATGAAAACCCCAATACACAAGTTTTCACATTTTTTTGAAAAATTCTGAAACGGCAGCCTTTTTCACATTGACACCATATGTTTTAAATTTCTACCGTAATCCTACAGTTATGAAGAGAGATGGGTGATTCGTTCTATAATGCAAATCTAAGCTAAAGCCAGCTCTACAGATTGGCACCTAAAGCAAGGCAAAACACTTCTTGAGAAGAGAGATATTAACGATCAAACGTTCGATACATTTTTTTGGGACACCCTGTATATGACCCTGTAAAAGAAAGCCTAAACTTTCCAAACTCGCAACCAGTTTTTATCGATATCAAACCGTGTTCTACACATCAAAAAGGGAAGCCTGTGCTACGACGAAAATTTCACCAAAAGATGTGCAAGTCATTACTCCAACAATATTTGCAGCAATCAAAGATTTGATTAATTCCGTGAGAAAAAGATAGATTTCAAATTCATTCACTCAAAAAAATGAGGCATTTTCAGGGCGCAAAATTGGTCGATTTTTCAAATTTTCGAGAAAATCTTTTATAGCTTGTGATCTAAAATTGTGGTATAGTCATAATCAGCCCTAGCAGAGTTCTCTATAACCACCGAGTACAAGCTCTCCAACCCTCTTCGGACTTGACAGATTTCTGCGCTAACAGGCCAAATTTTAAGTCGATCTTTTGCCCTACTGCGCATGTTGGTGACCCAAAATGAGGTGCTGACGACCCAATATGCGCATCTTGCAGACAACATTGTCTTTGCGCAAAAATTGCACTTTGAAAAAAGATCAACCTCTTGAAGTTGCAGCAGTTTGAAAAAAAATTTGCGCAAGTCGGGAACTTTCCTTAGCTAATACTTGAAACGGGAACTTTCTTTAGCTAATACTTGGGACCTTTCATATGTAGTTCTGAGTGAAACCGGGGCTGTTTAAAATGAAGGAGGCTTTTGGCATTTGGCTTTGGCGTTCGCGCCTTTGTCTCGTAAAGCGGTTGCTCTGACAAGGAAAGGAAGGTTGGTCGAAGTGGCCTTTTGAAATGAGATGGATACTTTCTTGTAGAGCTTGGAACGTTGATTCCAAATCTACCTTTGCTATCTGCTGCGAGCTTCTGGGCGAGGAGTTATGAAGGTTTTTGTGAGTAAAAATCTGAATGCAAGAGTAGACTAAAATCAGTTGTAAAATTTTTTAATAGGGCTTAAGTGGTAGTTGGGTCACTCGGTGCAACGAATATTCTTGATTTAAATATGCCAATCCGTTGCTGCCTTATTTAAACATCGGGAAAAAGTTACGACTGATTTTACCCTATTTTGCATTCAGATTTTTACTCACAAAAACCTTCATAACGCCCAAAAGCCCGCAGCAGATAGCAAAGGTAGATTTGGAATCAGCTCTCCAAGCTCTACAAGCCATTATACACCTCATCTCAAAAGGCCACTTCGACCAACCTTCCTTCCCTTGTGAGTGGGCGTTGCTCTCGCTTAGTTCGCCCCACGAAGTTTCAAGCAGAGTTCGTGTCCGCATTCCGAGCAATAAGGCTGCGGCCTTGTACACCTGAAACTAGGGTAATAAAAACGACCTATCAAGCTAAACTTGGATGTTTCAGGTATATTAGTTGTCAATGCTCTATCCCCTAGGTATGCCAACGATTTATATTCCTATAAAGACGACAAACCGTATCAGTACGTGAGTGCGATTTCGTGCCGATACAAAAGCATCATGTACAAGCTTGGTTTCAGTTAGTCAAAAAATTCAATACAGTTTTTGGACATTGTGAGAGGCAGAAAACCGGCTCGCCTAATCAGGTTTGTTGTCTTTTGGAAAGTGGGATACGAATTTTCCTTATTACAGATAATTTACTGCTTACATCAAAGTCCCATGCCGAAGCTTCGTATCAACACACAGCAGTTTCTTTCTGAGAAGGCGAACATAATCACGCAAAAGGGAGCATAATTGATACGGTTATAAACTGTTCTACAAATTCAATTCTCAAATGCATGTTAACTTTAAAACCTAGCGGATAGTTTGCGCACAGAAAACTACACCTCTATGTTTTGAAAATCTGAACAACAAAACGCCAAGTCCTAAAATCAACCATTCTTCCAAAGTAAAATTGATTTTTCGAAATGTTTTGTATATTGTTTGGAAGTGGAACAGACTGGGAAAGGGTGTAGAGTATATGCTAGCGACAGCCCTAGGTCGAGAAATTTTGTTGAATCGAAAGTCATAAAAGTCCCAAAAACCCTAGAAAAATCGGAGCGCCCTTTCCGCGGAGAAGTTGAGCGTGTTTTGCGTTTAAAAACGGTAAGACTAAAAGCGTTCATACGCAGTCTTATATGTAACTGAATGTTTGTTTGTCTGTATGTTTGTCTGTAATACTAGGCTGCTGTATAAGTTCTGTTGGATTTTTGCGCTGTACAAGCCGTTCGAAGAGATTTTCACTTGTAATGCGATATTATTTAACCAACAGAGGGCGCTTTTTGCTCTTTTTACCACATATCATATTTTAATAATTGTGACGAAATTGCAGGCCTATGATCTCCAGATGATCGAGACATGTTTCCAGCTAATAGAAATGTTCTTGCAAGAAAACCTCTACCATATGCTCTCCAAGTCAAGTCTTTGTATTGGTCACGGAATAAGGATGAAACAATACAGCATTGCATGAACCCACTTTCAGTAAAAAAAAGTTTTTAGCAAAACTTGTTGTTGTTGAAGAATAATCATTTGTACGAAAGTTCATAGGCATTGATTTTCCGTGAATACAGGCAATCGATAAGTCTAGTGTTGGAGGCGCTAGAGTAAAGCAAGAGCTAGCAGAGCCCAGCCACCAGTTACTTTCACCCGTCTCGGCAAGCGTAAAATTTTCATCATTTGAAATTTGATAAACACGTGTGCTATAACGAGGTTGAAAAACGGTTTCGTTTTCGATCGTTCAAGAAAAGCTCTCGGCACCAAAGATCTTATAAGCTTTTTTGGGCCATAGAATAATTTTCGAAATTTTTTCTATTGCCCATGACTACTCAGTATGCCTGCCTTCAGAGCACTGCCATGTCAAAAAAGGAGGTTTTTCGCAAGGAATAGTATTGCGGTGATAGCCAAAGAACTACTCAACACACAGAAACTGAGATCATACAAGAGTTGATTCTGAAAAAAGTTATGACATTTTGAATTTGAAAATTTGAATCGAAGAAAAGTTATGCAGCAGCCTGATATGTTCCGAATGGAAATTTTTCCTTCTAGAGCAGAGTTGGCCGAGAGGTTAGTGCCCGTGACTACGGCGAGGAAGGTTACAGGTTCGGTTCCGCATCCGGCTTAATTTCTTTGGCAAAAAGCTCTGCCCACGAAATCCAGCGTCAGGCTGCTGCTGAAGAAGAACCCCGTAGAAAGGCAATGACGGAGAACAGAATACGCATCAAGTGGTGGAAGCTCAAAGACAACGCTCAAGCAGCAGCTATGGAGTCAGCTCTACCCGAACTGGAATCCGAACCGGAGCGATTTTGGGCGAAGCTGAAGAAACGTCCGTACATTTGATGGCAGGAATCTACTGGGATGTATGAAACCAGGAAAGCCAAGACTAGATAACGAAACTTGGTGGTGGGACGAAACCGTCCAATCGGTGATTAAGAGGAAGAAAACGGCGTACAAGCTGTGGCAGAAAATAAGAGAAGAAGAAAATTATCAGAATTACTTAGCAGCGAAGAGTGAAGCAAAGAAAAAAACTGAAGAAGCTGAAGAAGCATAAGTGGCAGAGTTGTACAGAAGACTCGTGAAGGAAAGCGGGAGATGCATCGGATTGCAAGAAGAAGAACAAACGCTACAAAAGAATGGAGCACTTCTACAACATCAAAGACAAGCAGGGAAAAGTGCTGAGAACGCCACAAGAGATAAACGAGAGATGGAGAGCACACTTCGCAGAGATGGCATCCACGAGCTACAAATACGCGTCGAGACGACTGCAGCCGACCTTGTACATGGACCGGTACCAGCAATCACGGAAGAGGAAGTCCGCATCGCCATAATGAAGACCAAGAACGGCAAGGCGACTGCTCCAGATGACGTCTCCAACGAGTTCTGGAAGGAGTGTGGACAGGCCGGAGTCTCACGGCTAGCACGACTTCGACAACCGGTATAGAAGTAAACAATACCGATATTGAAGAATCGAGGAGACATCAAAAGAATAACAGAAAGGCGACTTCGAAGAATTGTGGAGCTGGCATCCAATCAGTGCGGATTCGTCAAGGGATGCAGTACAACCGACGCCATCCATACCGTCAGAATAATGATGGAAAGAAGCCGAGAAAAGCAGTGTGAGTTACATGTAGCATTCCTCGACCTGGAGAAAGCGTTCGATAAAGTACCGCATAACATCATATGGTGGGCGCTGCGGAAGCACATGGTTTCAGAAGAATAGGTGCAGTGGATAAAGATGATCTACAGAGATGCGACCAGCCACGTACAGACAGCAGCAGGAGAATCGGAAGACTTCCAGATAAAAGCCGGCGTTCATCAAGGATCCGTGCTGTCACCTCTCCTCTTCATCACAGTTGTAGACACGATAGTCAGAAACTTCATACGTCAACCTCCATGGGCCGTGATGTATGCAGATGACGTGATTCTGATGGCGAAAAGCAGGGATGAATTGGAGGCGGATGCAGAAGTGGAAATCTGAACTCGAGCTGCATGGCCGCAAGATCAGTGTCGCGAAGACCGAGTACATGGAGCTGGGAGCTCAAACGCCTGGTACCATACAGATCGAAGACGCCAGTCAAAAGACCACTACCTTCATATACTTAGGAAGCATCTGCGCAGATGGTACGACCCAGTGGTAGCTGCCAGGATGAATTAAAATAGAAAAGCCTCACAGGAGTCGTATGCGATAAGCGGATGTCACGCAAGCTGAGTACCGTATTGTGATCCGCCCGACAGCTCTATATGGCAGCGAAGGTTAGCCGTGTATGCGAAGCGACGAACGTAAAGTGAGTGTGATGAAAACACGCAAGCTACGATGGACGGCAGGCGTCACTATGATCGACCACGTTACCAATATACCATACGCGCAACGATGAAGGTCGCCAAAATATAGCTAAGGAGATACAGGAAAGAAGACTTTGATGGTACGGTCACGTGCAAAGAAGAGAAGAAAGCTATATCTCCAGATCGGCCACATTAGAAGATATACCAGGAAAGAGGTCAAGAGAAAGGCCAAAGCTGAAATGGTCGGATAAGATCAAAGCGGATCTGAAAGAACTGAAGATCGAAGAAAACAAGCCTTAAACCGCGAACTATGGAAGAGACTTACAAGAGTGGCAGACCCCGAGTAACCGGGAAGATGCATGAATTAAAAAAAGAAATTTTTATTTCTGAACCGATCTGGACCAAACTTTGCGCAAATGCACTTCGGGGCAGGGCGGATGTCGTAAGCTACTCTTCCTCATTGATCGATATTAATTTTATCGATTTTTTGCAAAATTTGGTCTACGGGGCTGGGAATTGGCATAGAGGGGTAAGTGAGAAGTGATTATGGTGATCACAAGAAAATTATTCACAGAGTCAGGCGGAGCCAAGCCAGGTAGTTGTTTGATATTATACTCTAACTAGCTGGCTTACCCGGCTCCGCCGTATCCGCACCAAACTTGGCACACATACACTTCGGGCCCCGGCGGGTGTCACAGTCCACTTTTCGTTATCGATCGATGTCGATTTTACCGATTTTTATCGACTTTTTTGCAGAGTTCACCTACAGGGCTAGGAGTTGGCACAGGGGGGAAGTGAGCATGGGGATTCCGAATACAATATTAGTTTTCAGGATCGCCCATTACTTTTATCGATTTTATCGATTTTTTTTGTAAAGTTTGACCTGCCGGGCTGGGAGTTTGCACAGGGGGGTAATCGAGCATGCAGATTACGAATACAATATTAGTTTTCAAGATCGTCCTTTACTTTTATCGATTTTATCGATTTTTTGAAAATTTGAGCTAGGGGGCTGGAATTTGGCACAGGGGTGTAACAGCATGCTGATCACCCCCCTTGGGGATGATCAGCATGCTCGATTACCCCCCTGTGCCAACTCCCAGCCCCCTAGCTCAAACTTTGCAAAAAAATCGATAAAATCGATAAAAGTAATCGATAATCCTGAAAACCAATATTGTATTCGAAATCCCCATGCTCGATTACCCTCCTGTGCCAACTCCCAGCCCCGTAGCTCAAACTTTGCAAAAAAATCGATAAAATCGATAAAAGTAATCGATAATCCTGAAAACCAATATTGTATTCGGAATCCCCATGCTCGATTACCCCCCTGTGCCAACTCCCAGCCCCGTAGGTGAACTCAGCAAAAAAATCGATAAAAATCGATAAAATCGATATCGATCGATGACGAAAAGTAGCCTATGACACCCGTCGGGGCCCGAAGTGTATGTGTGCCAAGTTGGTCCGGATCGGTTCAGAAATGGAATTTTCTATTCGGAACATACGTACAGACATACATACAGACATACATACATACAAACAGACATTCAGCTTTATATATAAGAAGATTAGGTACGTTTAATGTTTGCTAAGCTCACTATATAAATACTCTAATTAAAGACTAACTAAAGAATTTTTTCAAGTTAAAAAATACATAGAATAACTTAGTGGTCTAGTCGTTAGAGTAAGCTTTATGTACCCTGCATAACCTCATTTTTTCCACCTATGACCTTGCATTGATAAGACTCATACATCTTTGTTGTGAAAACATGAAATCGTGATTTTTACTCCGAGTCTTGCAAAACAACTACTTTATTCTCGCTTTAGAAGTTATGTTTAATAGTCGGGTCAACATTGATGTCCCATGCCAAACGTTGCATGCAAGAAAGCCTTACTTGCCGCCGCACACATTTTAAGCGTTGGCGAAGTCCGGTAGATCCCTAATCAATGAGTTTACTTTTGCTAGCCATATTTAAACACCTTCGCTACATG